TCAAATTCTTGTATCCGCTCCCGCCAGCGTGTCACTTGTCCTTCTAGATCGCGAAAAGAGCGAAGCCACTGTGATACACAGTGGTAAGTGCGCACACGAAAATTTCTACCAAGTAGATAATAACGGAAGTGCTGTAAAAATTTTACTAGTGCTAGCATTTCTAGACGTGTTGGGGAATACAGTGCTTCGCTCTTGTCTAGTCGTCGGCTGGCGTGCGCAATGACTCTCTCTTGGCCATCTCGAGCCACTTGTGATAGAACTGCACCAATAGCTGAGGAACTAACATCCATGTTGAGTATGAACTCACCTCCGTCCGCCGAGATGTCGGAAGGGCTAATATAGGTGGTGAGGTTAGCTGTGCCTTCAACGTATCAATTGCTTGTTGACACTCGCTGGTCCATAGGAATTTTCGTCCCTTATGTGTCAATCTGTGCAAAGGTGCTGCTAAAGATGCAAAGTCTCAAACAAATCTTCTGTAATATGAAGCGAGACCCAGAAAACTGAGAACGTCTCCAGGTGTTTTTGGTTGTGGCCATTAACAATGGCACGCGCCTTTTCATTATCTGTACCCACGCCATCTGCGGTGATCCGATGTCTTAAAAATGCTACTTCCTTCTGCAACAGACGGCATTTGAATGGTTTTACTTTTAAGTTATGTTGTCTATGACGCTGCAGAACAACTTTCAGGTTAGCATTGTGTTGTTCGGGTATGCTACCGTATACAATAATATCATCAATGTAAATCAAACATTTTGGGGCGCTATATTCTGTAACACTGTTTGCATCAGTCTTTGAAAGGTGGCCGGAGCATTCGTCAACCCGAACGGCATTACCTGGAATTCATACAAACCATTTGGTACTACGAACGCAGTTTTGTTCCTATCCAGCGGCCGAACTTCTACTTGCCAGTACCCAGATGCTAGATCTAAGGTGGAGAGCCAACAAGCATCGTTTAAGGCATCCAGTGTAACGTCGATGCGCGGAAGTGGAAAAGAATCCCGTTTAGTTATGGCATTGAGGCGTCGGTAATCTACGCAGAGTCGAAGTGAGGAGACTTTCTTCTTTACAAGAACATTAGGTGACGCCTAGTGGGATGATGAAGAGACTATGATCTTCTTGTCTAACATATCATTTATCATCGAATCTAGTTGTGGTTGGTAGTGTACCGGTATTCTACGACGCGGCTGTCGGATTGGCATGTGATCTCCTGTAAAAAGAGAGTGTTGCAGTGTATCCGTACGACTTCCGGAAATGCTTTCCTCGAACACCGAACTAAACTGTCGGAGCACAGCCACAGTTGCACGACGGTCAATTTTCTGTATCATTTGGTTGCTCTCTACCTGACGTACCAGCTCTGAAATTCCACTGTGAGCTACAGGCTTAGTCGTCCCTGCATACTGGTGTAGGTGTACCGTAGCCTCGCAGATTTTCGCTTCTGCTTTATCCATAAATATCGAAACTTGGTGTTTTAACATAAAATCTACGCCCGATATCATGTCCCAGGTTAATGTAGGGAAAACTAAAAACTCATGACGAACCGAACATCTCTGCATTGTTAAGTCTAACACTGTCTTATAACACACTTTAGGGGGGTCCCCACTGGCTGTTATCAATGCTGAGGAGCATCGTTTTTGCTGTACTTTATGGTGCAGTCTCTTAAAAACACTCCCTTGATTAGGGATACAAAGGCTCCAGTGTCTAGCAATATGTCAATCTCCACACCTTGCACTCTACCTTTGAGGGTGATGGGGCTGATATGATTAGCATGACATGAAGATAAGTGATAAACGTGTGACTCACCTGGATTACGAGGTCGGTTGTGTCCACATCTCCAGGTGCTCCTGCCAAATCGTTTGCAATGCACACATCTTGGTTGTCGATTGTGATAATTGTTATATGATGGTCGTTTGTTCCACGTCGAGTTTGATGCCTCGCGGCTAATAGCCCGGCTAAGGATGTGTGAGATCGCTGTTGCTTTCGGAAGATTATCTACATGTCTCGGTTCCATGTTTTGCCCTACTTTCATCAGTGAATGTTGTGGGGTTTCTGATGGGAGGGACAATCTATCTGCTGTCATAAATCTGAGCACGGCCTTCTTCAGTTCGATGGTATTTGCTGCTGGCATTCGAAGTGAATGTTCTTTTAGGGGGTTGTGCACGAGCCTTTCGACGAAGCGGGAGCGTACCAACTCATCTCTTTTGCCAACATCCAGTTCAGGGAACGCTTTGACCGCAATTTGTTGTAAGGAATCCAAGTATTCGATATGGTTTTCACCGGCTTCTTGGTGACGCGACAGAAATTGGATGGTCAGCTGCTGATCATCTAAAGGTAATGAAAAACAATCATCTAATATATTCCAGTTTTTAGAAAGAGAATTATTTGTTGAGAACCCATATGCTGTTGCGCTTTTAACAGCCTCGTCACTCAAGAACGATACAAGGTAATCAAAGTGTTTGAAAACAGGTATTTGCGCAGATATGCTTCTACTCTAAATTTCCAGACAGTATAATCCGACTACGTTTCCAAAAGTGGCGGCTGGCAAGGACTTACGGCGGTTGTTGCCTTGACTGGAAGCACAGGGGGTTCTTCTGGTTTTAATTTGAGTTTTTCAATAGGCACCTCCATCACCAAATTATAACCGGGTATTCAGCAGTTAACGAACAGTTCTTCAGCTTTCGAAGCGTTTATGTTTGGTCACCTTGAAATAGCAAGAAAACAGAACGGGTTAGCAACATCGCCATGATAATTCTAGCTCCGTTACACAGAGATCATTATTAATTAAACGCCAGATTGGATGAACCAAGAACGTAGCTCATTGAAACGACTTAGCAAAGTATTAGGAATTTTCGCTGACTAAAAATCAATCACAGTCTCAGTCAGTACATACTGTTTTAATGTCTTTGAATGGACTTTTTGGCATCTGAAATAAATCTATTTCTAAATTAGGAATATATACACCAGCAACAAACCGATGACAAAGTTGAATTTCTAATCTGTCTTCAAAATCACACAACGCGTCCTGTTTTTTTTGATGGAAATATAAATTCTTTACCTTTCTGATCATTTTGTGGAACTTCGATCTCCCACTGCATACAAATTTTGCAAACTCCACATGGTTAACTAGTAACTACTTGAGAGATTTATATGACAATTAAATTGTTCTCTAGTAGAAAGCTAGATTCTTAAGCACGCTATAAGCTTCTTCACCGATGAACGTCAGAAAGTGAGTTGTGGGTTTGTCTTCTTTCAGTCGTGCGCCGATTTCAAATCTTTCCATCCTCAATCTCACAATTTTGAGGATGATATCGAAGTCAAATTAAACTTGGTAGTTTTTCCAAAATGCTGAATATAGTCAGTTTCCTCGTAATGAAATTGCGACTGAACTAAAGTGGCTTTTCGCTGCTCAAAAGCTCTAATAACAGCGGTGGCTTATCCTAGGTGTAATGTGGATTCGAGTCACGTTTGACAGAACAGGCTAAACATCCGAGTAATCCAGAAAGCAGTAGGTATTTGAAGTTTGTAGTAAGATATATTTGTTGGCAATGTCGTGGCATCGAAATAATGCCAAGATGGTGCCAATGTGGTACAAGTGGAACTACTGAGGAAACGTAAGTTCGTGCAAAGTCACAAGCAACGGAAGGATGTATGTATTTAGTACAGCTAAACAAACAATTATAGTGAAACAATCACTGGTACAACTGGTTATAATAATAACTGTTTCCATTAAATGAATCGCGTTCTCTTGTTAAAAATAGGTCACTACATTGGACTTCTAGGAAATTCGTTTCTTAGAAGAGTGCTTTCTCTGTTCCTCAAAGCCTGGACTTGTCATAATTCTGTTCAAATTTATATGCTGAATTCAACGACAAAGATAATTCAGCAGTTTTTTTGATTTACATATCTAAACTATTATTTGGTCGAAATGTTCATCAGGGTTTAGACTGCAACGATCATCTGCATTTACAGTTCTTATTAATTTTCCTGCCTTGAACACTTCAGCTTAAAGTCATAAAAGAATACGAACGTAATTACAGAATCAGCAACAACCTTCAGTTTTTATTAGTCATATAGCTCATAGATAGTTTATATAAAAATACATTCATTGAATTATATGCATTTTGAGCTGTAAATAAAATGATTTATTAGGCAGTACAAATAAAAGTTGAGTGATTTATTGTTATTTCACACATTTCATTGATCAGATTAACTATAATGAAATAGAACAATTAACCATTACAGATTAGAATACAAGAACGCATAACGTAATTGAGCGTCTCACCGAATCAACAACAGTGCTGTTCTGCACATTTTACAACAGTTCCATAGCTAAAGTAATGGAGGATAAGTCAAGATAATGTTCAATTTATCAGTTACCATGAATTAGAACGTTTATAATGAGTTCTTCGGAGTCTTTTACACTAAAACTACTCGCCTTTGTGCATGTCTCAGAGCTCACTGCCTTTTTATTTGCAATTGTACACTGAACTGAATTCAGTGGCTTCGACTAATCGGATTTTACAAAAGACTGGCAAATTAAACGAATGTTTTGGTAATTGCGTCCAAGATTTCGTGCAAATTAAAAAGCATATTTATTGACACTTCGTTTAAAGGTTTCTCAACTTTAAAATATACCTAATGAAAACTATTGCGTGAGCTTCAATGAGAACTTCAGTAATAAGAGGTACAAAGCTTAAAAACCCGATGAGATTTCTAAAAATATATTTGCCTCTGGAAAATACCGGTTAAAAAAGAACAAACAATAAACATAAAAATAGATAATATCATCAGTATTACCAAATGAGCCTGAGTGCCGGGCGTCATTTAACGAACGTAACTAGGTACCTACTTTTTAAAGTTACGTATACGTTTTTTTATTTCCGTTTGGATATCGTTTCACTTATGAGATTCACCGAATCCATTATTTAGGATGTATGAACGTTTTATGAGACCTATCCTAACGTTTCGTTTTGCTTGTTATAATTTACTACTATATAGGTCAGAGATTATTGGCGGTAATCGAACTAAGTAAGTACTGTTGTGTGTTCTGGTGATGGAACTATTTCTTAATACATCGCCGTCATTAATTGCAATGTAAACGTTTCTGTGAGTAATTAATCACCCATACTAAGGCCTAGCGAGATTTGATTTTTGCTTGTTTGACCTTCACTCTAAAAGTGGGAAGTGGGGATATTTCGTTAAAAAATAATGAAGAGCAGAGGCGAATTTCCCCCGTTGTTTCGCTTTGTTTTAAAAATGCTTACTAAGCGTAAGCTTCCCGTCAAAAAACACGCCGTAATTTCTTCTATTTTCCCAAATACCTTCCTCATTTTATACCTTTCCCCAGGCTCACAAATATCTTATGTTCTTCTTTTCCATTACATCAAAAACGTTAAGACGTAATCAGTCTCAATGTAGCATTGTAAGTGAGAAGGTCATCGCATGCTATCAGAAGCCTTTATTAGAAGGCTGAATTAAAAAAGGGTAAATTCCAGAAATCACATATATTTGGATCTGCAACCTTATTATTCTGGCTCAAAGCAATCCCGTGAAATCTGAAATTTGATGAACACAGTCATTTACAATGAAAGTTAACTGCCACTGTTTTTAAACAATTGCCGATACAAACTGAGACTTATGACTGTTCATCAATACCGAGGGATGCACACATAGGACAATAGTGAAAAGTCATCCTTTTAAATTAGTGCGTTTCGTTTTCCATCTACGACGCTTCCTTGGTTCGTTCCATGTCGTGGAACTACCTTAGCGCCTCAGTATCGTGCAGTCTACTCAGTTCTTCTTTCGGTGTATTTATTTATTTTAACACATAAATATCGGTACAAGAAGGCACCAAATACATATGCGCCACACATATCTCATTTGATATGTGTGAAAGCTGTGATACTGCCCGGGTGCCCAAACCGAAGCAGGTGGTTTTCTTAGGGGGCCACACCCCGAGCCTTTGACCTAAAGATCTGATCCACAAGGCAGTGGAGCATCGTGAGGAGATGCAGTCCCATTTTATTTATTATTTTATTTTAACACATAAATATCGGTACAAGAAGGCACCAAATACATATGCGCCACACAGATATCAATTGATATGTGTGAGGGCTGTGATACTGCTCGAGTGCCCAAACCGAAGCAGGTGGTTTTCTCAGGGAGCCACATCCCGAGCCTTCGACCTGAACGTCTGACCTACAAGGCAGTGGAGCATCGTGAGGAGATGCAGTCCCATGGTAGCCGGTGACCAACGATTGGTTCATACGCCATTTGTTCCGTCAGGATACTGGAGCCCATGTGCACCATTGGTTTGGGATCCGGTTAAAGCGCCGGACATTCGCTTTTCGTCCTCTCATTTTTGTAAACAACACTCCCACCACGAGATGGTAGTGAGTAGGACTTCCCTGGCAGGTGCTGTATACGCGTGGCCATATGAGAGCATTTCGAGACTGGGAGCGGACTCCCCCCACTCTCGGCCGTACCAGGGCATTTGGGGGCCTTTTTTCAGTGATGTACCACTGTATAAACCGTGATATTAGTGTACTTAATGATTGGGAAGAAAAAAATTTTATTTCGTACGCTGCCGTAAAACCTGCACTCTTATAGCGGTCTTTTCGATAAAGGTGCCAAGTAGTGTAAAGCGGGTGGCAACTTCAGGTTTCATGATGTGATAACCAGATCTCCCAACTTTGATCAACATTCGAGTAAGTATTTGGAAATTTCGGGGAAATACTAATATTTAAATAGACCTGATAATTAACGAATATCAATTAACATTCTAACCTTTCTGCGCATCACTGAGTTTTGTCACCAGACCGTTTGTGCTACTTTGATGTGGTGGTCGGTTTTGCCTATCGCCATTAGCCTCTCGGGTTATACTAGCTGGAAAAATCATTCCTCAAGGTCCTACCACGCCATGCAGGTCAGTTAAAGACCGGAAGACGAAAACTAGCAAACCCAAGGTCCAAAGGTAAAGTCGTTCTGCTGACTGTACAGAACCCTTCTACAGTTTGGGTAACCGGGAAGCGAAAACCGACCTCATACCTCTAGCAGCATTCAAAACCACCTCATTCATCATCAATTACACTTCGAATCCTATTATTACTCCTATCTCAATTTCATACTCTCAACTTCCTGTTTTATCTTCTCCACTCAAATGTCCCCATGACCAACTATTCTAGTGCGCGAAACACTGTCCCAGGTCTACTGAAATCTTGCTCCAAACTACACATTTGAGTTTTCAACTTACGCACCATATGCCAAATCGGCCAACAGGCCTCCTTGGCTAAAACCCTAAAATCTTGTACGATTGATATATGCTGTGCTTCTAAAACACCCATACAGGATCTTAGTGTGGTTATTCACTTGACGTCATCTCTCCAAAACGAGCAGTGAACGAGGTACATCCTCCGTTTATCTGATTACCCGACGACAAGTTCTCATAGACTGACAGGTGTAGGCATACCACAAGTCTGTCGGTAGAAAAAGCAATTTTAGAATGGATCACTGTTAACAGTCGCCTATATTCTGTTCGGCTAAACGGTCCCATAATGCCTCAAAAGGATGGGGACACAAGTCGTTGCTTCTTCGTTATTTCCGCCCCCAAAAGCCCTGGTACGGACGGGAGTGGGGAGAGCCCGCTCTCCCTCTCGAAATGCTCTCACATGACCACGCGTATATAGCCTCTGTCAGGGAAGTCCTACTCACTGCCTTCACGTGGCGGGAGTGTTGTTTACGAAAGTAAGAGGACGAAAAGCGAATTTCCAGCCCTTTAACCGGATCCCAAACCAATGGTGCACATGGGCTCCAGTATCCTGACGGAACAAATGGCGTATGAACCAATCGTTGGTCACCGGTTTCCATGGGACTGTATCTCCTCACTATGCTCCACTGCCTTGTGGGTCAGACGTTCAGGTCGAAGGCTCGGGATGTGGCTCCCTGAGAAAACCACCTGCTTCGGTTTGGGCACTCGAGCAGTATCACAGCCCTCACACATATCAATTGATATCTGTGTAGCGCATATGTATTTGGTGCCTCCTTGTACCAATATCTATGTGTTAAAATAAATATAATAATAAAATACTACCACTGACCTCAGCCAGGATAAGTGAAGTAATAATTCTACAGAGAGCTTTCTGAGCTCTTTCAAAAAGCTAAACACTCAGACAATGTACTCGTAGCAGGTGACCTTAATGCCCAAGTGGGTGGCTTAAACCAAACAAAGACATTTTAGTGGAGATTTTGGTATTCTGGTTCAATGAACAGATAACGGTGAACGTCTTCTACAATTGTGGTCAGACAATCGTTTATTTTTAACAAGTACTAATTTTAAGCATAAGGAGAGACATCGTTTAACATGGCGAGTCTCTGCATCAAACCAAAGATGGACTCAAATAGACCACATCGCCATCAGTCATCGTTGGAGAGGCTCCATAGAAGACTACCGCTCGCTCCGGAGTACATGTTTAGATTCCGACTATGTTCCAAAACGAGTACGCATTTGCTTGCACCTCAGTGGATACAGAAAAGCCACATTAAGTAAACCCACCAGAATTTATTTCAGCGATGAAAAGGGCAAAGGTAGATTCCAGGAACAACCGAAGTCATATTTAGGTAATTCCGACAACGAGGGATTAGTTTGACTAATATAGCGTCTAAAATACTGGCCTCAATAATTATCGGGTGTCTAACAAAGACTCGTAAGCTGCACATACGATTAATGTGCTCACAATGTTTTTCGTAGCTAGTTACGTTACATTTTATGGTCTCTCTTCGTTGTTTTTCTGTACGTTTAGTTACATGCATGTTTCAATATTTCTTGTTATGGTTCATCTACTCCACAGAATTCTTAGTAAAAAAATGTATAACATCCTATTAGATGTCTATTAATTTAACTTTTGATGTAGTGCTGAAGTAGTCCGATTTTTCCCTAAAATACAGACAAAATGCTTTTTCACAGAAACCGTTATTGATCTTAACAAACAGTTTTACGTGATAGGGTATATGGGTGATATCATTTCGTTTTGCAATACAAAGTTTGCAACTTTAAGTCATAACTCGCAATCAAAACTTTGCTAAAAGGTTGTTATTTACTCAGTTTTTTAAGTAAATAGTTTTTTTATGTTAAGTATTCCTGTGCGCTTTTTTACATGCTCAAATATTTTTAGAATTTTGAATATCTAAATTTTGATTCTTAGGTTTTTGGCATATGCGTTGATTTTTATTGATTAATACGCCTATTTACATTCTGGTGATCGCTATTTAGGCATAATTTTTCTTGTTATTAACCTTATTGTTAAGACCTATGTCTACTCCACATACAGAAGTGAACTCTGGGCAAACCGAATTAGCCCCTATTAGTACGGTTGGGACTGATATGTCAAGTAATACATTGTCGATTGGTGTTCCTCTCCATACTCTTGGTCCCATTGAAGGGCAAGATGGACTCAGTTTGACTAGACAAGAAATAAATCGACTCATCTTGGAGTATTTAGTCGTTGAAGGCTACAAAGATGTCGCTGAAAAATTCAGTCGCGAGACGGGAATTGTAGAGCCTTTAAATGAGTTGCAAGTCGCAGGTGCAAGTTTGAATGATCGTATGTGGATTCGTGAAGCAGTTTTGTTAAGGAAAATCGAAGACGTTATTGATACAGTGAATCGATTATGGCCTGAACTCTTTGATAAAAACCCTTTTATCTACTTTCAGGTAAGATATACTACTTATCTTATATCAATCCTTTGAATATAATATTTGATACACGTTACCTGTGTAAAGTCTCACTACTATTCATACAAGTTTATAATTGATGGATCATCCATTTGTTTTATTAGATTAATCACTAGCTGGAACTGTAGAAGCTCCCCAGTGTTCCTTGCTTTTCAGTGGTACGCCAACTAAAGTTAGTCTGTGATATATAGCACCTACAAACTATAGAAATCCAAAACTCCATAAAAAAGTAGTGAACGGGTTAAATATACCTCAACTCAAAGTAACAAGTGAACAACGTCGACACTTTGAGTATAGAAAAAAACCAAAGTAGAAAACTATTGACATAAAAAGAAACCAAGTAAACATTGAGATTCAGTAGTGCTATTGAGATCGGTTTCTCTAATAATCTTTGTACATGTATCAGTCCAAGCAGCGGGAAAGTGGATGGGTTGAAATATCATTAAAGGCGAATAAGTTCGAAGGAATAAAAATGATGAATAATAATACTTTAAAAATATTAGGGAAGATTCGAAACAAGTTCGTTTGCACCTCTACGTACAATCATGATCTGTATCACCTAAAGTATGCAATCATTATTCAGTGTAATGAATATCTGACAGATTACTGATTGTCATAATGATTAATCGAATGGCCACTGTCAATATCAAATAATTTCTTACAGTTCAATTATGAGGTAAGGAGAACAAATGTTGTAAGCTGAAGCATATTTACTTTATTTTGTATCCTCTGAATTTTCACACACACTCGTTTAATAGGTAAGATGTAAATTATTACTGATAATTTACATATCTACATCGCGAAATAGTAGTGTCACGTTCTGTATTTTGACTGGTTTCATTGACTGAATTCTATCCATTATCATATTACAGAAGGAGTGCAATATATTGTAAATTACTTACAGTATAACCTTAACAATTCAATTTCACATAGTCTTTAATCCATATGACAGGGAAAACCAAAGAAAGCTAACTTATTTCTGAAGTTTACACCGTAGATAAACTAAATTTCCACTCTTTATCTCTAAATTTTATCTAAGAATCTTTGTTTTTTCGACTAGCTTCGGCAGCTGCAAATGCTAGAACTTATTCGGAACAAGCGTTTAGAAGAAGCCCTTATATTTGCCCAGTCGTATTTAGCGGATCCAGTAGCCAAACGGTTATCAGAACATCCTCAATTATTAAATGAAATGCAAAATACTATGGCACTACTAGCTTTTGATAATCCTGCTGAAAGTATTTATGGCAAGCTGCTTAGTCCTCAACACGCTGAAGTGGTTGCAGGAGCACTAAATCGAGCTATACTTCGACATATCGAATCATCAGGAGATGAAATCGATACGTCAGAAGAGGGTAAAGGCTCTGTGACTGCAAACTCTATGGGTTATTCCGGTGTTTCATCCACTGTACCACGATTGACAAAAATGATGGCACTGTTACTACATTTCCGTGATTTATCACAGCTTGAACTTCCACCCGAATTAGCTTCATTATAGATCAGTTTTTGAAAAGTGGAATAAACTCTTTATTATTCTCATCTTTTATGTTTCATACTTTAACTGATTATTTTTAGTTAAAGGCAGCATGATGGTTGATTTCATGACATTTTGACTAATATACATGTACAAATTATATAACAAGCAAGATTGTGTATTAATAATATTAGCCAAGAATTTCAGGTAGTTCACCCATTTTGGGAGTATTGTTTTACACTTATGTGACTTTTCAATCAGTATGCAGCATTAAAGAGCTTACTTAATCCTCATACACATGAAAAATTTTTTCCTTACCCGTGTTTCCCTCAGAAATAAATCGTTTGAATTATGTCTCACTTATTGCTACAGTTTCAAATAAGCGGGATTCGTGGATTTCTAAACATAACAAAGGAACGATATGGACATTAGCATACTTGTGGTGACCTCAATCATAAGATATTATGATACCATAATTGTTCGCCTAAAATTTTGATTATCGAGTTTTGGAAAAAATAAATATGAAAACACTAAATTTTACAAGATATCGATATATCTGCGCTAATAACTGGATTTTCACAGCCAACTGTGTTAGCGAATCATGAGATGTACATTGGAAATCAATGACTTAGATGGTACACTGTTTCTTCAATCAGAATTTCTTACATTATTATTTGAAAATATGTTGAGCTAACTTATTGACTTCATAAGTCTGACATTCCGGCCATATCGAATACACATACAAGTTAAGTACATGAAGTGTACACTGATTCGGTTTTCTATTAAATGTATCGTATGAATTGTTGAAGAGGTATCTTTGCTATCACCAACTGTTGTGTCTACAGTAGTGTGAGCGCACTTACGAAACTTTTCCCAAATAGGTTGCTCGCCTAGAATCATTTATTTTTTAAATATAGGTCACTTCACCATCAATACAGAAATTTAGTCTGCATCACTAAAATATAAAGCACTAAGTGTTGAACAGTTACATTACGTATGTTCACGTCTCTGAAATAGTAATTTAATTCTTGCAGCCCTACCTCTGAACGAACAATATTATTACACTTGTATGTTATTACTGTTAAAAAAGTAATCTACCAGGTCCCTATTGTATATTAGTAAGCCATACCTAATATATTTATCATTAACAAATTGAATTTTATCTTTTGAATGATAGTACCACGTTTATCAAGGTATGAAGCTAACTGATAGATCGGAATATTTAAACCAGAGATAATCTGAAATCGCATTGGTATTTATTTACTGAACTATGATAGTTCATTTAGAACTTTATCGTACTAGGAACAGATACGTAGGAAATTTATATTGACCTCTCAGTATCTAGTGACTATCAAGTTTACATAACGCATCAGAAATTAACAATCTGATCGACTATGGATGCCTACCAAAGGATCTCTTACAAAACAAGTTTATTAATAATCAAAGTATGTTGACAATGCCAAGAATGGTGCATGGGATTCCTAAACTTCGTAAAATAAGTGCACGCTGCACTAGTAAAGTAATTCCTATAAATGACAAGACAACTTAAGCTCTATTTCAGAGAGGAATGAGATGAAAATGAAGTGCGGAAACGTGTAAACGACATTATACTATGAACACAACCTGCATCGCATTTTATTTTTTAAATATGTTAGCTGGATATTTTTAATTATTTCAGGCATATAGGAGCATTATTACTGACGTTTACAGGCAAAGTAACCTATTCATGGGTTCGATTTCCAGAGAAAAGGAAGTAGAAGAATCTGAGTGATCACCACCTGCACACTGATATGATAGTACATTAACTGGTGTAAGGTACTAGTGTTTTATCAAAACAAAGAATGTCAGTTTAAAAGTGCACTCACATTACAATCATAAGGACCTTTGATAGACTTGAGTTTGTTGGATTTACATTTACGAAATAATTATCTTAAGTAACATTTCAACTCACTTTTTAAAGAAAAAAAGAAACACGAATATTTTTAAATTATCTATTCTTTTGACACATCAAAATGCATAAAAACAATAAATAACCAATAAAAATGTCTAATTAATCTCGCTTTACAGAAAGTTTCATTAGTTTTGGTTGAAATGTGTTTGAGTTGAACGTACTTGTTGGAGCTTTTCTATAAGAAATGAAAAAATATTGTGGAATTAATTGACATACGTATATGAAGTGATTAAAGTTAGACAAGTATCGGATGTCGACTTAGTAATCTAAGCGTTTGCTAAGAGTTAAAGCTCCTGCGTGCGCAAATTTGAGGATTCCCATACTACGAAGAAATATCTAGCCAGTATTTTCCGGTTTTAGTGATTGATTAACTAAGATCAGTCCGTGATGCCAAGTACATAATAATAGTTATTACACACAGATCAGTACGATATTTTAAGCAGAGAGACTAATGTACTTCCTGGAATTAGCAATAAGAGGAAAGTGCTTTTAACCAACAACACTAAGTAGCAAGTTCATTCAATTCAAAAACCTGCAACTAATGGATTACAAAGGAAAGGTTGAACAAAGACTTGTTCATTACAATAATTGAAGCTTGTGCATTTGATTATGGACAAAATTAATGAAACTTATAACCACACGAAACGCAGCTCTTAAAATAATATCAGTTTCTAATGATAACTGTATTATACGTCAATAAATAATAAGTCTAAAGAATATATGATGGTCACATTATGACTAAAATATAAAGGAGTAAAACAATTAGTTTTTCAAACTTTACGTTAAATTACTAGAACACTAATGGTAACGTGAGATAGTGAATGAAATTGGGTCGATTCGCATAACTACAACCATTTGAATAGTAGTAGCTGGATAGGACGCAAAAATTAGTAGCAATAAAGTTATTCATTTCTTCACAATGTATAGAAATAATTTAAGATGAAAACAATAGTCATTTTTTGAGAATAAAGTTTGTACCGTTTCCAGCCTGCTGAGCTAGTGGATGACGCTGAAGAACTAGGATTGGATTTGAAATGATATTTACCAAAAAGATAATTTCGTTTACGTTCACCTCCACCACTTGGCGTTATCTGAAATATTCGATTAATGTATAATCAACATGAAAAGTACTGAGGTTCAAGAATAAATAGATAAAAGGTTTAGAAACACATACAAATAATGAGTCTACAATGACCAAATACTAAAAAGGTTCACGTTAAAATTATCCTGGAATCAATGCGAATTGTAAAGAATGAGTAAGATGACAAACAAACAAGCCCCAAATTGGTATAATACAGTTAAATCCAGGACCAATAATTAAAGGAGAAATATTGAGAGAACTTACAGGTGAGACGCGACAACCAGATAAACGTGTGCGACTTGAATAAGTCTTCCGTACGTCAGTCATTTATCTTATATACCCAAATTTGAAGAATAATTGTGTTCCAATTTTTACTGAAACTAGTATCCGAGAATGTCTCCAGTCACTTAACTTCGTTTAGGACCTGACGAAATCCCAAACCTTTTTTTAAGAAGTGTGCTGACGTTCTTTGTTAATCTTTGGCAAGCATCTTTCGCAAATCCTATTCAACTAATCTCATATCGAAAATGTGGAGAAAGATAAAAATAATCCCAATACCTAAGAAAGTATCTAATGATAAAAATGTAGAATTTAGACTCATAGCAATAACTTCACCTTTTGTCAGAATTATAGAAAAAATATTGCTACTCTGACTTCAACATGCACAAAAAGAGTATAATAATTGATATCAGTCTGCTTACAAATGCAAAAGAAGCACCTTGGATGCTGCTGTTTTTCTGAATCATAATATAGTGTATAACATTCCTAGATTACACTTCTGGCTTTGAATCTATTTCAGACAACCATTACTTAAAAGTTTGTCAGCGTAAACATCGGCAGCTGGATAACCAACTGGTTGTGTTTTCACTTCTCTGAAAGAAAACAGTACTGTGTTTAAACGAAAGTGTCAAATATCTCTACTGACTCACGAAGGTGTGCCACAAGGAGTTGTTCTTTTCCCTCTTTTTTATTGTGTATGACCTGCCATCTTCGACAGGAAACACTTGTTAAATATGCGTACGACCTACTGTATGCACACCGATTTCTACCTACTCACATTCCCTTGAAATGTATGCGTTTTCATCTCTTATTGAACGATGGTTTCATACATAATCCTTCGAAATTTCAAATAGTTAAGAATAGCCTGAGACAAAAACAGCCTTTAAACACGCTGTAGGGATCCCACAAAGCATGTACTATTGGCGATTCATTAATAAAGTGTCAAAAGTAATTTATCTTGGTGTGTGTGTTTTTTCTCTGATCTTTCTTGGCCTTGTCGTATTATTATAGAAGAAAGTTTTCCGTCTGACTTACTACATAAAGAGGTAGCATTCTATCGGCATTATTAGACATATACTTTTACGATTAGCTAATTCTTGCATATTACTTATTATTTATTACTGTTCTCCATGATTCTGTCCTGCGTTTTTGAGAAGACTCTGCTATATTGCGAAGAGTGAAGAAGGCAGTTAGTAAGGTGTGTGGTGGATATTTTAAGGTCATTATTAATATGGTTGTGGATAGACATCCCAGATTTTGCAAACTCCCGGCAGGTGTTATCTTATCAAATACTAACCATCCACTTTATTTATGTCTTGTTGTTGATCTTCTGGTAAAACGAGACGTCGATAAATTAAAATCCATGCACGTGAGCAAAGGTATAGAGGCTCGACAACACTTTATCTAGCAAATGTAGTATGTGACAAATAGATTGTTAAAAGTCAATAACTTAAATTTTAATTCATTAAAAGTTGTACAGATTGTAATGTTATTAAAAAGCATTTCCTTCAATTTCGGGTAGTTTATGTAAAAGAAACTTGTGGAAATATTGTGTTTATAATTTTATACTGTACTTATTTATTTTAACACATAGATATTGGTACAAGGAGGCACCAAATACATATGCGCTACACAGATATCAATTGATATGTGTGAGGGCTGTGATACTGCTCGAGTGCCCAAACCGAAGCAGGTGGTTTTCTCAGGGAGCCACATCCCGAGCCTTCGACCTGAACGTCTGACCCACAAGGCAGTGGAGCATAGTGAGGAGATACAGTCCCATGGAAACCGGTGACCAACGATTGGTTCATACGCCATTTGTTCCGTCAGGATACTGGAGCCCATGTGCACCATTGGTTTGGGATCCGGTTAAAGGGCTGGAAATTCGCTTTTCGTCCTCTTACTTTCGTAAACAACACTCCCGCCACGTGAAGGCAGTGAGTAGGACTTCCCTGACAGAGGCTATATACGCGTGGTCATGTGAGAGCATTTCGAGAGGGAGAGCGGGCTCTCCCCACTCCCGTCCGTACCAGGGCTTTTGGGGGCGG